CTCTCTCTCTCTCTCTCTCTCTCTCTCTCTCTCTCTCTCTCTCTCTCGTTTGAGAGATTGTGATGACCGTTTAGGGCTGCGAGGATAAGGGCATGATGACCACAGGACTAAAGCCTGGTGTGGGAGGTCCTTCTGTCTATGTGTTGCTTTTATTGATCAATGAATAAAGAAACTGGCTTGGCTTTTAGCAAGATAGAAGGAAGGTGGAGTCAGAGAGAAGCCATGTAGCCCCTCCAGACACAGATGCCCAGACTTTTCCTGGTAAGCCACAGCCTCGTGGCGATACGCAGATTAAGAAAAATTGGTTAAATTAAGATGTAAGAGTTAGCCCATAAGAAGTTATAGCTAATGGGCCAAGCAGTGATTTAATTTATACAGTTTCTGTGTGGTTATTTCGGGGCTAAGCGGCTGGGAACTAACTAGTGGCCTTCTGACAACAGAAGTCTACATAGGTAAGACAGCTGAGGTCAAGAATCTGTTTTGCCTCAGGCTTTTCCAGTGAAATTGAGGATTATTGAATTATTATTAAGCCCAACCACACTCCAGGGCTGCACAGATCCCTGAGTTAGACATGGTGCCTGCCTTCTCCATGGTAACAAGGCTAAATATGGACGCGTTTCCATGGAGAGCCATACTGCAGCTGCAGCCCTGCTTCCTCCAGGAAGCATCCTCTCTGGGCTTCTTTGGCCCCCTAGGAAGTGGCTGTCAGTGTTCAGGAAGCATGTAGGGCATCAAGTCCATGGCTTTCACCTTGGAGAATTTTTGTTTCCAACAGATCCTTCATTTCTCCTAGACCTAGACCCATCAGCTCTCCTTCTCCTTGGTAATTAGATGCTGGGAGAGGCCAGGGGTCAGAAAGATGGACACGTGAGCCTAATGGGCTCGATGACCATTCATGAAAACCATTCCATCTTCCCTTTGCTCTGAGGAGCAGGGAATGTGATTGGCTAGCGGGAGACAGTAAGACAACTATAATGAGCCTTGGGCAAACACACTGCTCTCTCAATCTCCAAACCTATTGGAAGAATTTTTGCCACAGAGTTTTTGAAATGCTTTCTGAAGTTTTCCATAATTTCAAAACAATCTCATAATGACATCTACAAAGAGTTTTTCAGTGTTCCATTCTGTAGTCAAAGAATATTCAAATGAGACAAGGTTTTGTTTTTCCGTAAGGGAAAGTAAGTCTGCTGCCTTTTCAACTTTGAACTAGCTCAGATCTCTACACTTAACTGTCTAACAGAGCAATGTGGAATGAAACTTTGTTTTTGTTGAAAGATCAAAATATAAGCTGAGTATTAGGCTTAAAAATATCCTGTTTAACATCACTTGGCTATTTAGAGATTACATCATGTGTGTTTATAACTTAATCGCCTGTTAAATTGGGTCTTTATAAGCACAGCTGATCATATGGGTGTGTTCGTGTATATTAGGAAATATCTATAATGAGTATGTATACATAGCGAGCTGGGTTGTGCTGCCCAGTTAACTAAGCTATGGAAACTATTTTGAGACGAGAGAGATCTTGCAATGCAGTTATAAATAGTCTCTTAAGAAAGATTCTTATTGTGTGTTCTGTGTTTCAGGCCACGTGGCACCAGAGCCAAGTGATGGACGATCTGCAGTCCCAGAACCTCTCTATGGACATGACTGACTCCCCTCCCACTCTGGCCAACAACAGACTGGAGAATGGCATGGCCCAGCTGATAACTACCGAGGCCTGGAACATCAACTCCACTGACCTGGTCAAGAAGGCTCTGGTGACCGTGCCGGCCCCATCCATTCTGAACCCCCCGGCTGAGTCTCAGAGTGGCATGGCTCTGAAGGTAGCGGCCACCGTGCTGCAGCCCCTGTGCCTTGGGGAAAGCCCCGTGGTGATGCCCATTCACATGCAGGTGGAGGGAAGCTCTGCACCGGAGCTCAACCCCAACGGCAATGCCACCTACGTGATGACGACACAAGGCCCCGTGCAGCTGCCGGTGGTGTTAGAGCAGCATGTTTTCCAGCACCTCAACTCCCCTCTGGTCCTGCCACAGGAGGCCCCATGCTCCTCCAATGCTATTCACAACAACCTCTTCCAGGGGGCCGAGGACTCCGAGGCCCAGCCTCAGCTCCTGGACCTGAGGATCCCAAGCCAGCCGCAGGAGCCCACATTGCCATTTGAAGCTGTGCTCCAGAATTTATTCCCCACCCAAGGCTCTCTGGGCCCTCCACCTTGCCAGCCTCCTCCTGGCTATGCTCCAGTGCCTCCGCAGCCCTTTAACTCTTCTTTGTCCCCCCTGGTCCCACCAGCTACCCTCTTGGTGCCCTATCCTGTGATTGTCCCCTTGCCAGTGCCAGTGCCCATCCCCATCCCCATCCCAGTGCCTCAGAGTTCTGAATCCAAGTTCAGCCCCAGTTTCCCCAAGCCGCCATCTTCCTTCAGACTGCACTCCTTTAAAGGCACCCAGACCACCCTGGAAAAGGATGAACTGAAGCCCCTAGACATTCTCCAGCCAAAAGAGTATTTCCAGCTCAGCCGCCACACAGTCATCAAGATGGGGAGTGAGAATGAGGCACTGGATCTCTCCATGAAGTCAGTACCCTGGCTCAAGGCTAGTGAAGCTAGCCCCCCAATCTTCCAAGAGGATGCAGCCCTGGACCTGTCCCTGGCAGCCCACCGAAAGGCCGAGGCTCCCCCAGAGCCACTGTATGACAGCAGCGTGTCGGCAGACAGCCAGGGTCACACTGTGCTGGAGAAACTTCCTAGTGGTATGGACATGACCTTTGCCCCTGCCAAGCCTCGTGAGGCCTCGGTCATGATGAATAACCACATCAACGGCAGCAATGGCACTGAAATGGTCAGCCAGTCCAGCCACCCCGGCAGTGAGGTGAAGGCTGAAAATAACACTGAGATTGTAAGTGAGCCCCAGGCAGCCAAGGTCATTGTCTCAGTTGAAGACACTGTGCCCACCATCTTCTGTGGCAAGATTAAAGGCCTCTCAGGGGTATCCACCAAAAACTTCTCCTTTAAAAGAGAAGACTCTGTGCTTCAGGGTTATGACATCAACAGCCAAGGAGAAGATTCCCTGGGAAATGCCGAGCCCCTTAGGAAACCCATCAAAAACCGGAGCATAAAGTTAAAGAAAATGAACTCCCAGGAAATACACATGCTCCCAATTAAAAAACAACGGCTGGCCACCTTTTTTCCGAGAAAGTAAATAAGGGCTTTAAAACATTTTTATGATTAGGACATGGGGAAAGGTGCATTGGTTTTTTAAAAAAGTCATCTAAAACAAATTATCTTTGTTAATTATTTTGGGGTGTAGGTGGGAGGCAGAAAGGCAAATTAGCTAGAATCATTTTCTTTTTTAATTTTTGACTTTTCACAAATGAGTAAATAAGAGCAACCTATTTTTCAAGCAGATTGCACATTTTTTTGCAGCTTTAATGGAATATTGGGTGAATCAGAGGGGTAAAAGCTATTTTCATTGTCACAAAGTGCTTTGATGATGTAATACCTAATAAAGGGTAGGATGAATATTTCACAATAAACGTTTGTTTGCACTAATTGGTTGCAGTATTCTGTCATTTGTAAAATTTACATTTCTCAACTGGCAAGACTGGCCTAAACCTTTGCTTGTAAAGAGTCTCAAATTTATTACTGTTTAGAGACCTAAGCTCTTCAGGCATGTTGGGAAATATTGCCTTGTGTCCCAGAGAAGGAGGATTCAGTGTGTGTATGGTCTCTAGCAAGTCACTTTTCCCTCTGGACCTTTTTCATGGCAAAGGACTAGGGAGGGTACCGAGAGGTGAGTTTCAAGTACTCAAGGCCCCTTTCATTTCTCGTCATTCTTCAGTGTGTTTTCTTCTTGGACTTCCCACGTCTTAAAAACAAACGACTGTAAAAGAAAACAAAAGTTCCTTTGGTTGGCATTGAAGCCCATGCCTGTAGTGCCGCCACTCTGGTGGCTGTGGCCAGAGGGTTGTAAGCTGAAGGCCAGCCTGGGCTTCATAGCAGGTCCCTTTCCGCCTCCAAAAGAATTACCCCCTCTTCTCTTCTGGGACCTCGGAGTTAAGCTGAAAATGGCTGCCCTTTGGCAGGGCAATAAGAGCATTGTTCTTAATGATTTGAAAATCCTGTCAGTCAAGTGTTGCAGGTCACTAAGAATCAGATGAAAGTCAACGTCATATGAATTTAGACCACAAGAAAGAGAAAATCTTTGTTGGATTAGCTCAGTGGTTCTCAAGTGAGGATGATCGTGTACCCCTTCCCACCGCCCTGTAACCACCACTACCAGGGGATGGCTGGTTGACCATCTTATGATACAAGATAGCTCCACCCCCAACAAAGAATCACCTGAGCCACAATGACAGCCACACTGAGGGCTGCGAAGCCCTGGCTAAGCCACTTCTTGATGGATGGAAGCAATGCCCTTGCAAGGAGAGAACAGTGTATTGCTCTTCCATGACAACATAAAGCCACCCACACAAACGAGGAGCTGTGAGCAAGTGTCTAAAATAGACCTGCTAGGTGGCACATCGTACTTGCGTCTGAAACGGTGCTGGCGAGAGACTGATTAGAGCAGGCCTGCTTTAAAACTTAAAGCTCTTTCTGTCGCTTTTTTGCAATTAGTATGTATCCAGCTGTTCCTGGGAACATGAACAGGAGGAAAAGCAGCTGTAAGACTGTTCTTTTATTACCAGTCCCTCTGTGAATAGGGCTACAGTTTTAACTGGTCCTGAATCATAGAACCAGAGTGGATTTGGAGTTTTCTCTTTCCTGCACTTTTTCTGTGCTGTTCACACTTCTTTTTGCAAAGTGCAACCAAATAGCTGGTCAACTGCCTGGGCAGTCTCATTCTACATCAGCCAGACGCCATCTTTTCAGACTTTACATGGTATTGGCTTTCCTCATTTTTTCTGCCAGTGTGAGTTTCTGGCCATGTCTCCTAAGTACAGTATGCATTATAGTTTCAAGTCAAATAGACATGTGCTTAGGGACTAGTGTTGCCCATTTGCTCGCTATTGTTTCTCCCTAAGCTTTGGGTAGTTTCTGCTGTCATAGAGGATGGCATAGACTTCTTCTCCCAACCAGCAGGGTACATGTAGTCAATAGATTTGAACTGGTTGTCTAGATTTGGGGAACAAAACTTACAATTTGCTGTTAGAAGCAAGTCCTTAAAGCAATAGACATACAAGTGGTAAAGAAGGCATTTGTAGACTACAATTACCTTAAGAACCTCAAACCACAAATTTCTTTTGGTTATAAGGGGGATTCCCTTCTGTCTTCAGATGGAAGCTATGCTTTAGGGAGGAAGAGCTACTCCATCTCTAGATTTTAAGATATTGGGAGCCCTGGTTCAAACCCTGAAATAGGCCTTCTTCAGCTGAGCCACACCTGGTGTATTAGCCTTACTATTCATTTCGCCAGGGAACTGGGGCAAGTGTGTATTATGGGTGCTGGTGGTAGCATTGGAAGACTTGACCATTGGGATTGATGCACAGAATATTTATTGTGTTGTGCTATGGAGGCAGGGATTCTCTGCTTGTTTTTCTTCCCAGCCTTTGATGAAGGCATTTTGTTACCTGCTGGCCAGGGAGTCAGGAAAAAGGGCAGGGCCCGTATTTGTGTCCAGGCTAAGTCCAGTTGATTGAATTCAACATCCTTTCTCAAGTCAGAAGTTAGCAAATTTTTACATCAGCCTTTGGTGCTATTAGCCTGGAACTCTGCTTTCCTGTCTGAGGACTGTGATTCTCACAGGGTTCACCAAGTGGGGCACCAGCAAACTCTCCAGCCACATCGTTTTTCTGCTCAGTTCAGCCCTATAGTCAGTGTTGTGCACACCCATGACTACTGTATCCAGGTAACCTACTTTCAGATTTTAGCCATGAAAGGTTTCCATCAGCTTTCTCCACTGACTTCATTTTCCAGCTCTTCTCAGAAATATGTTGAGCCAACTATCAGAAAGATCAGCTTTTTTGTGGTTTGTACAAAAAAAAAATGATTAGTCCTTGGGAATGTTGATATTTGCTAATACTTGTTAAGATGGCTTCAGCTGGCATCAGTTCAGATCTGATTTAAAAAAAAAACAAAAAAGAAGATCCACAAAGGTCCATATTGGGGGACAGAAATCCTCCTATAGGGCAAAACATTATTGATCTAAAGAAAAGGAAGGATTAAGGTTTAAAGACGTTACACTTGCTGTCTTACCAAAGGAAGCCCTTGGCAATGAACAGAAAATTCTAAAATGTGGTCAAAAAGTTTTTTTTAAAACTTAAAGGTGCAATTATCACAGTTTAAGCATGAAAATAAAAGACTTCAATCCAGAAAACTCCAAACCCAAAAAAAGAGAGGGGGGAGGCAGAAAGAAAAGGAGAAGGAGTAAAGGAGGGAAGGAAGAAGAGGAGAGGGGGTGGAGAGAGAGACTGTTGCAGAGAGAATATGTCAATATCCTCGTTATCTTCAGAAGCAGCATAATTAATAAAACATCAGGAAATGATTTAGATTCCATTTTACAAGGGAGGAAATAGAGGCTCAGCAGAGTTTTCTGCTTTCAGTTTTTAAGCATCAACAACTCAAAAATATGTACTTTGGGTTTATTCTTAAATATTGGGTCTTAAACCCAATGAACCCACAGGAATTTGGGCTCTTTGGGGGCAAAACCCAGTATGAATTAGTGATGATTCTGAATTACAGATTCTTTTTCAATCATTCTAGAAACCCTTCCAGCTAACTGGAATGCTCACAGCACTTGGCACAATCGCTGAGGGGAGACTTCAAGCTGAAGGGTGGAGATGCCAAGCCTCTAAAAGCCACACTTACAAGCTGCTAAGCTGAAAACTTTAGCAGCAGGGGAAAAGTGTTAGAGGTCATTCTGGCAGACTTTGCTCCTCATTAAATAAAAAAAAAGGCAGTTTTCCACAACTCTCGCTTCCACCAGGTCAAAGAACTGACCTCCCGCACCAGTGAGACAAAGCAGGGTGTATCGGGAGCCCTTAGGGTACCATCCCAATAAATCCATCATCTAGTTAATTAACATATTGGTGGATTTGATACTGGGTAGAGTGAATGCTTGAAAGAATTAATTCTCAGACAATGCAAATAATCTACCTTCCATTGTTATATACCTAGGATTTCTAAGCCAAGGGAGATATTAGTTATGTGCTGCTAAGATTGTGAGTAATTCCAAGTTAAGGGAGATGAACTGCCGAGGATTACCATATTAACTCGACATTCATGTAGGCTATTTCTCACTCCATTCTATTCTATATATCCGCGCAGACAAAACGAGGCTCCCTCTACTGACAAAGATAGTGAAGGTCACTTGGAAACAGTCCCTCCTTTGCTAAATACTTCTCAAAGTTAAGATTTACTAGGCCAAGCAATAAGAACGTAGCATATCCTTATCACGTTAGTAACATCATGGGGTTTTCTTTATGCTCACTTCAAATACAGCTTTTGCTTTTTCTCTCGGACACATTTCAGGGGATATGAAAAGTATGCCAATGGGCAGACTGAAGTTCTGAGTCGTAGTTCAAGGTTTCTCAACCTCAGCACTGTAGTCCAACAAGACTTGGTATCTCTCTGTTGTTGAAAAGGCAGGAGGATATTTGGCAGTGTGCTTTACCTCTCCCCACAAGATGACCAAAAACTCTCCAGACATTGCCAAGTAACCCTCAGTCTAGAACCTCTGCTTTTCCTTTTTTTTTAAAGATTTTATTTCTTTTCTTGCTTTATAAATAATACCATTCAAAATTTCCCCATCCTCCCCTCCTCCCACTTCCCTCCTACTCCCCCACTCACCCTCTTCCCTCCCCCTCCAGCCCTAAGAGAAGGCAGGGTGCCCTGCCCTGTGGGAAGTCCAAGGCCCTCCCCCCTCCATCCAGGCCTAGGAAGGTGTGCATCCAAACAGACTAGGATCCCAAACAGCCAGTACATGTAGTAGAATTAATGATAATGGCACTGGGATTTGATTCTGCTTTTCTTTCTAGAGACAGACTGACACCTGGCGCATAGTAAATGCTCAGAACACCCTTCCTGAGGGAATGTATTCGACGGGTCAGGGAGATGGAGACAGAGCTGTAGTCTCTGATGTTCTGCTCTTGTTTCCTGGTTTCCTACCATAAGTAGGAATGGGAAATAGGAAACGATTACTTAGTCCAACTGTCCCCCTACCAAAGGGTTCTCACTCACCCACTATGTTATGAATGAAGTTTCTCCCCAACTATGAAGGCCCCAGCAGGGCCATTTGACAGGAAGAGCAGACACTGGCAACCCTCATGGGAAAACTTATTGGTTCACTCACCCTGTTTGTTCATCAGTCTTACTCCCAATAACGGTGTAACCCAGGAGCTCACAAACATTGCCCGGAAGTTGTTTATTTCAAATTTCCCATCTTTTATCTAAGTCCTTTTTGCTGCACTTGAGACCAGTGGTTTGTCATTAATGGAAACAAAAGCCAAAACTCCCTCCCTCTTTTTTTGTAGATCTTTAAGCTCCAGCTAGTTTTGTAGCCTCTTTCTCTTAGATACAAGAGTCCTGTTTGTCCTCCCTTTCCCTTAGAGTTC